CCCTCCCATCTTTTTCACGGCCTTTCGGGTTTCATTTGGTGTGATATCCTTGCTGCCAGCCCACAACTCTTCTGGTTTTGTTTATTAATGTTCAATGCATCAAATCTATTTTCAAGATGTTACCTAAATTCAGGTGGGATATACTCATGGTAATACTCTGACACTCGTGGAATTTTTTTTTTAAATCTCCTACATAAGATGTCTTTATTTTTTTATTAAAAGATCATTTTTATCGGGGGCTTTTAGACAGCCCTTAGAACAATGCATACGTCAATGGTATCAAGCATATTTGTACATAGGTTGCCCTCCTTTTCTAAGCATTTACTTCCTATTTGAGTCCTTGGTATCAGCTCCTCTTCTTCACTCCTTCCCCTCCTCCCACCTTGTGAAATTATCTTCATTTTCATATCTTACACAGACCACTGCCACCTCTCATGCAAATGTGACCAATGAATAAGAAAGACTGAAGTATAATTGATACCTTTGATTTGTGCAGTTGACAAAAATAGTGCATATACCATGGACAGTCAAATAAAAGAACAAGTATGACTTAAAGTTCAGTATAGATCAGAGGTTTCTTAGAAGAGAGAATAGTAAGACTTCATCTCAAGTTCTTTGGACTTGTTATCAAGAGGAACCATTTCCTGGAGAAAAACGCCATGCCAGCCAAAAGGAAGACGGCCTTGACCGAGGTGGGTTGTTGACACAGTGACTGCAGTAGTGACAGTGGCAACGCCTTGGTTGTGCGAATGGCTGAGGACTGGGAATTGTTTTCTTCTGTTACACTTTGAGTGCATGAGTCACAACAACAACAACAACACTAATTAACTGAGGACATTGGTGGATTCATGATTGAATTCTCCCCTTTTGTGCAAGGTCAATCCGAGGCCAGTGTACACCGCTCATAGCCACCTCTGAACTATTAGTGGAGACACATTTGTTGATGAACAAACTATAAAAGACTAATCAGAAAGGCCTGGTGACCCACTTCCTAACATCCACCAATGAAAACCCTGTGAATCCCAAAGGTCTGATCCACAAGGGATAAATTAGGGTGCCATAGAACTAAGCAGTGTTCCCTCATGTTCATTTGGGTTGCCATGTGCTGGGCCCTCTCGTGCAGCTCTCAACAGCAATTATCAACTGGCCTTTGGATTCCCTCGAGCTTGGGTTTGAGAATCCTTGTATGTATGTAGCTGTGTGAGTGAAGTGGAATGACTTAAATACCAAGTAGCCAAGTGCCTGACCCTTGGAAGCCCTCATTTTGACTTATCAAATTAAGGAACTTAATCTTTCTTTACTCCAGTTTCTTGCCCTGCAAAACCGAGAAACCAATCACTTCTGCCTTGTCACAGCTGTGAGAGAGGGACCGGCTACTGCATGAAAAGCTTAATGACCAGGCATTTTTATTTTAATCATCCTCCTACTTTCCGGTCTTCTGCTCAGGGACCACACTCTATGCCTAAGTATATTAACATATGTGGCACGCAGCTCAGGTTTCCATGACTTGTTTTTAACCCTTCGGTGCATGTCAGATACAGCGTGCAGAGGCTCAGATGAGGTGGCAAGAGCTGCACTAGACCTAGTGAACAGCGCCTCTCGAGTTGAAAGGTGCAAGTCCATTGCTCTAATTAACGCCTTGTCATGTTATGCATCTGTGGCTGATAGTACACTGAGTCACACATGGCCATCGGGGAGTAGTATCTTCCAACCAAACCACCGTTCCTCATTGAACTTAGTAGCATCATGGGATATTTTAGAGAATGGCGTGTAAGAAGCTTATGTACCCAGCAGTGCTCAAGTGGAAAGTAGACTATCAGTGGTAATTATAATTTCAGGATTACATACTTCATTACTAAGCTGTATGTTAATGAGTGTTAAGTGATGAAGTTTCCGTACATGGTACATTGTCATTTCCATAATTTATTCCCTAATTTCCATGTTATTTAGGCAAAATAATGCCTGTTTATTAACTTCTTGATAACAATAGTTCATCAGTTCACTCACTCACGTAATATGCACAGGTGGAACCAGTTGATGAGCCAGGTGGTGTTAGTTACGTTGGAGTTTAACTTGACTTACAGTGACCCAGGGCACAGTGGGTTAGGGCAATCCGTGATGGTCTGTAGGAATTTCACAAGCTGATATTTAGGAGATCACCAGGCCTTTCTTCCTTGTCTGCCTTAGTCTGAGAGCACCCCTGAAACCTGTTTAGCATCATAGCAACACACATGCCTCCCATGTTTATTGGCTGTGCTTTAGTGTGTGAATCAAATCAGGGTCTCCCAAGTGAACAGTCGCACTTGGCCACTGAGCCACCATTGCCTGTGAGCCAGGTGTTAAAAAGATAACCGAGGCTGTAGAGGTAGGCGTTAGCTAAGGGATTTATAATTTGAATTGTAGGACCTAACCTTACGTTAGAATGATGATTTGGGTAGCAGTGTGAAGCATGGATTGCGTCTGGAGGGAAGCGAGGAGGGAGACCCATCACACAATTGCCAAGAATACAGGTTAGGGACTGAGGGAAGACTTTCTAAGGCCAGTCTTGCTTTGCATGGAGAAGGCCAACATTAACTTGAAGGCTTCCATCTTGAGCATCTAAATGTTCTCTCAGGGAATTCTTGAAGAGGAGAGCATTCCATAGGGGAGATTATGAGCTTCCGAGGAAGAACAAATGTGTGTGTGTGGGGGGGGGCTAATTTGATCATTCTTTAGACTTTAAGGCTTGGATAGTTTTTTCTGTGTATTGCTCAATGCCTCCACATATTTTTATCGCTAGATTAACAGTTGAAGAAAGGAAAAGGGCCTTATAATCCTTAGCCAATCACAGGTAACCATGCCTACTGCTGAGCACTTGAGCATGTACCGGGGCTATACTGAGGGCGGGCTAGCAGGCCTCACATGTTATCCTGGGTGGTGGTTCACTACAATCCTGAGCTCCGTCCCTTATAAGATAGTGTGTGTGTGTCTCTCATCTTGTCATAGCTAATGGATCAGTTTTTCTTTCAGGTGTTCCATGTATCCATAAAGGCATAGATGTTTTTCCAGGCATCAAAAATAACTGCTAAAAATTCTACTGACAGACTGTAGTATATCCTCTCCCTTTATTTTCTTTTTATTTCACCTGTGCATAAAGCCATTTGTCCATATTTCTAGAAACTTAATTTGGATCATTTAAAATCATATTTATGGAATTACTGAACTCATGTTTCCATATGCTGTGAAATTATAATTCATAAAATGGTGTCAGTATCCTATGATTCTAAAAAAAAAACCCTTTGATGTTTGTAACATCACTAGGTGCTTTAAGAGGCCCCTACAGTTTTATAATCAAAGCTGAATCAGTCCTCAAAATAAGCATTCTGCTTAGCTCTAAAAATGAATGTGTTATTTTAGATTCTGAGGCATATCTGTTTCAAATTAGTAAATAATTTCGGGATGAGCTGAAGTACCAAATGAAGACATTAAATATCAGGAAAAAACTAAATGTAAAATAAATGAGAAAAATAAGCAAAGCCTATAAACATAATAAGGAACCCTTAGTGGTGCTGTGGTTAAGCACTCTGATAGCCAAAAGTTTTGTTTGAATCCACCAGCCCTCTGATCCCCATAGACCTTACCAAAGCCTTAACTAAATTCACTGCAATTGAGTTAAGTCTTATTCATGGCAACCCAAAGGACAGAGAAGAACTTCCCCTGTGGGTTTCCAAGACTGTAACTCTCCCGGGGAGTAGAAAGCCTCACCTTTCACTCACAGGGCAGCTGTTGGATTCAAACTGATGGCCTATTGGTTAACAGCCCAACACCCATGCCAACAGAGCTCCTCATAAAGATTATAGACTGGGAAAATCTGCAGGGACTTCTACTCCGATGGACACTGTATGGGTTGGACTTGAGTTAATGGCACACAACAACATAAATACATGATAACACATGATAATAAATAGAAGTAGCAAACATGAAAAGCAGTAAACCAATTCAACCAAATATGCATCGAATTATTAATTAATGTTAGATTTGCGGGAGCACTGGTGGCGTAGTGGTTAAACATTTGGCTGCAATCCAGAAGGTGAGACGTTCGAAACCACTAGCTTCCCCTTGGGAGAAGATGAGTCTTTCTAATCCTATAAACAGTTACAGCCTGGGAACCTCACAAGGGCTATTTGACCCTGTCCTATGGAGTTGCTGTGAGTCGCTGTACACTGGATGGCTTCGAGTGAGAGTTGTTAGATTTGAGGAACCCTGGTGGCGTAGTGGGCTACCATTGGACTTTAGACTACAAGAGCAGCTGTTTAAATGCCCCCGGGGAGAAAGCTGAGCCTTTCTGTTCCCGTAAAGATATATGGGCTCAGGCACCCACGCGGAGAGCTTGACTTTGTATTGCAGGCTCCTTTTAAGTCTATGGTGCCTCAATGCCTCAATATTTTTTCTGATGTCCTACAGAGAAACAGGTACACTACACCTTGACATCAACTGAAACCTTACCTTGCCATCAGTGTATAAACGTGTAGGAGAAGAGAAAAGTGAGCCCAGTGCCCAGGGAAGTCAGTGAGAGAGCAATCCATTTTCAAGGGTGGGTGAGGAGTTACGGTAAATCGACAGAGCAAAGACCAGGACAGGGTAGTTTAGAGTCACATCGTTTGCAGAACTGGATAGAGAATTGAACTCCGTTCCTTGAAAACACCAGCAAGCAGCAGAGGGAAGTGGAAAAGCAAAAAAAAAAAAAAAAAGAAAACCTGCCCTTCCAATCTTAACAGAACAGCTATATTGATTTGCAGCCCCATTTGAATCAATGTTGTTGACTACCAGTGTTTCTTACTGTGATGAATCATCGCATGTTATGCTGGTTATATTAATGTTCAGCCTCACGGCCAGGATCATCATGATGAAGGATGGCTTCGGGATTTTCTTTTTGAATCGTGTTTGTGACTTGAGGTAAATGCCTATCACCCAGTGTGACTTGATATTGATGATGTGTGTGTGTTGTTTTTCTCTTGCAGTCCATTGACCCTGGTCAGCAGTTCACATGGGAGCACTCAAACCTGGAAGTAAACAAACCAAAGAATAGATACGCCAATGTAATCGCATATGATCATTCCAGGGTTCTCCTCTCAGCCATAGAAGGTAAGTAGATGCAGACATTAGTCATACCTTTATTTTCAAGGATTTACATTTGTGCATGAAAGTACAGTTTCTTTGTGATAAGAGTTGTATGAGCCCCCAATAAAATGATTTTAAAAAAGAAAATATAGTTTCTGCTAAGGTCTGAAGCCTTCTCAGAAAGTACTCACTTAAGACCGTACAACACAGAGCAGGTTTCTCTGGCCTTTTGTCTTGTGCCTGAGGTGGAATACTTAATAGTGTAGTTGTTTTTATGCAAATGAGGGTCGTCTATTTTATTGCTCATTTACCAGGGAGAATGACAGGGCTTTCTACTCCCGTACAGAGTTACAGTCTCAGGAATTCACAGGGCCGTTCTATACTCTGTCCTGTAGGTAGTTTTGAGGTAGAACTGACTCGATGGCAGTGAGCTTGGTTTTGGTTGGGGGCTGTTTATGAATGAGCAGGTGATTGTCAGAAGATGCCATTAGCTCATTGGTTCTTTTCTCTTTATGTGTTGGGTGGTGGGGTGGATGGTGGTTCCTTTGAGGCAAATTTCTAGGAACATCTGAAGATTAGGAGTTGGTGTTCGAATTACAATCAATTAAGCACATTAGAAATATCTGGTGCGTCTGGGTTATGGACTATTTCATAATCCTTGTTTTCCAGCAGAGAAGGGTTGCTGCCCTGCAATGAGAGTTTCCCCACCCCCAATACAAGGGGACATCAAAAAGTTCGTGGAATAGAAAGATAATAGATTTTTCCCCATGATCCTTTGAAATGCACTGGTATAATATTTATTGTCCTTGTGTAGCATCAGGTCACTTCTGACTGTAGCCTGTTGGAATTGCTCTGTGGCCTTACCTAGGAGTCCTTTCTCCCTCGAAGCTGCTGCTAGATTTGAACCACTGACCTTTCCACTTGTTGCTGTGTGTTTAACCCCTATACCACCCAGACGCCTTCCCATATTCATGCTTTGCCTTAAAGATTGCTGAGGGTCCTTTCCATATATTACTTCCAAGAGTAAGTACCCTCACGTGCGATCCGAAAAGCAGTTGGGATCTCAGACGCAGCAGTCAGCCTTTTGGCTGTCAGCACAGTGGACTGAAAATACTATACCACTTCAGTCCTTCCCTGCATGTTGACAGAGAACCTGGAAATCACCAACGGCCACATACCAGGTAGACTTCATCCTTCCAGGTGTTTTAGAAAACATCACATGATACTTGCTCCCAAAACAGTTCGTTTTTGAAGCTTACCGGTTCGTACATTTTGATCTCTGGTTGTTTGAGTTTCCTTTTTTATCCCCAGATCCCAAAATTTGGAATGCCTGTCACTTTGTCTTATCGCTCTAGTGAATTCTTACCTGTGTTTTGAGCACCCGAAGTTTATTTTAAAGTAAAACTCTGTTGTAAAGCATTCTCAATAAGCACTTCTCTTTTTCAGGGTTCTCGAGAGATTGAGGAAGAGGGGGGAACGGATGGATGGATGGATGGATGGATGGATGGATGGATGGATGCATGGATGGATGCATGGATGGATACTTTAAGGAACTGGATTGCACAGCTGTAGAGGTTCTGACAAATTCAAAATCTATAGCTGCAAAGACAAGCTAGCTATTCCTGCAGCCTGTGTCCAAAATTCAGAGATCAGGCAAGGGGAAGAAAGAAAACTTCTGAAAGTCTATTTATAATCTTGACTATATCCTAGAAAGCTCTCCATTTTTGCTCTTAGGGCTGTCACCAGCTTGGTTGAGGCCCACCTGCAGTGTGGAAGGCAGGCTGCTCTCCTGGAAGCCAGCAGCAGCTAGACTCGTGTGTGACCTGAGCCTAGTGTAGTCGACGCAGGAAGTGAACCATCACAGCACCCAGAACCAGCGAGTCCCTCATTTATAGTGCTTGGGAACAAAAATGATCTTGGAGCCTTTGAGCGAGCTTCATCCTTATAGTCAGACCCTCACGCCTCAAACTGGTCTTGTGTGGCGTAGATGGTTTCTGCACAGTTCATCACAAGTCATCTCACTTTGGGTGTTGGAAATGCCCCTATTCAAGAAACTGAAAGATGCTTCGTGTGATAAGATGCTGGTCAAAGTTGCTTCAGCGCCAGTCCAGGCAAGATAGTGTCAGATCCCCGCTTGCTTCCTCTTACGTCCTCTGCACAATAGATTTTTGGCATATGTGGATGCAAAAACATTTTTTCCCTTTGTCTTGTTCTCATTTTTTTTAATTATAAGAAATACACATACTCATTTATGTATAGACACATAGATAGGTAAGTAGATAGATGGGTGGATGGATGGAGGTATGAAAGGAGCTAACGTCTTGCTATCTGAAATCATCTCCATAGTGAATTAAACACCAAGCCAAGTCCCAAGCAGTGGGGAGAAACCCGATTCCTGTTAGTGAATCAGTGAGCACACACTGTGGAGCTCTCTGCCATGATCTGGCTCAGGGAGCGTGTCAGCCTGCCTTTGCTGTCCTGCACTGGGGTTCCACCGGAGCACTCAGGTGTCCCTTGCCACCACAGCCTGTTGTCTGCCCACTTCGCCATTAGTTTCTCCTCACCTGTTATTTTCCACCATCTTAGAAGCAAAGTGTGCTGGAGGACAAAGCCCCCGCCCGCCCCCCCCATCCCTTTCTGATGGTGGCTGGCAACGATGCACATTTCATTACTCTGCTATTTTTACAGTGTAAAAGCCAAAGCACTTGAATCAAACAGAAAAACTGCCCTTTTACAGCTCCGTGGCCACAATACCTTTTAAATCTAAAGCTGACTTAGAAACCAGAAGTCCTCCCATTTTACGTGGTATGCAAAAGGCTGGAAGCACTTAATTGAAGTTTAGGGGCGGCATGAAGAGCTTAAGCTAGATTACAACCAGGAATAGCATTTTTATCTCTCAGTGAGCCCTGACCAGCACTGGTGGAAGGGGAAGTCACCCCCCCGCGACTCCCCCCAGCACAGAAGAGAATATGCCAGCGAATGAAACCATAGACCCACAGAGCAAAGTTTCTCTAAAAGGGAGCTTTGGCAGCACAGGTCCACGTGTTTCCAATTGCGAAAATGCCAACTGATGTCATGAGCAGGTTAAGCACAAAGGTGCGCTGGTTTGGCTTCCACCTGAGGCGCTGAGGGGAATGTCTTTGGTTGCGGCTTTGGCTTTGGGTGGTTCTCTCTTTCTCAATGGTGGCAGACGCTCTCTTCATTTCCCTTTGCCAAGTGACATGGCCGAACATGGTGGCAACAGCTGGAAGTTTCTACAGTGATTCGTGGTGTCTGCATCTTTGTTTAGTGGAGCAACACCAGCACAGGACAAGCTTAGCTAGATCACACTTGGGACCAAGGAATCAAAACCACTGGGAATTGTGCCTGGCAGGGATGCTCCCACCCATCTTGAATTCTCCTGCGGTGACTTTTCCTTCCTGAATCACAGTCGTTCTGTTTGTGCTGAAAGAGCAGCAGAATACATTCAAAGGGGACTTCCTTTTACACAGCTTCCAATTGCTGAATTATAGGCAAGCGGTGCGGAAGACACAATTGAATTTTTGACCAATTCAACTACCAGGCAATCCCTTTCCTTGTTGTCGTTGGGAACAAAAACTACCTTGGAGCATTTGAGTAAGTTCAAACTCACAGCCAGGCAACCGCCATGCTTCAAAAGAGTGTTGTATGACATACACAGTTTTTGCAAAGTTCTCACAAATAACCTCACCTTGGGAGTGGGAAAAGCCAGAAAGCAGTTGTTTATGGAAATTCCTGCAGAAGTGAATGGATTGATGATCAGGACTGAAGATAAAGATCTAAATGCGGAGTGGCTGGATGGCGATGGCTGTCTGTGCATGGACACAGTGTTGACTAATAGGCTTAACTGAAATCTAAAGTTGATTAGGACATGCCCCTTCATCAACATAGGGCAAGAGACATGGACAAAGCCTGAGACAAGGAAAGCAGGTTTCAGGTTGCACCTTGGTCATGAACTCGCCAGGTAATGTTGTGAAGATCAGTTTCTTGAGCTGTGTGCTTTTAACTTCACCTGGTGTCTCAGTGGGTGAAACATTGGGCCATTAACCGCAGATCAGCAATCAAAACCCACCAGCCACTACAGGGAACACAGATGAGGACTTCTGTCCCCATAAAGATTTACAGTCACCAAAACCATATATGAGGGTCCCGATGAGTCAGAATGGATTCAATAGCTGTAGGTCAGTGGGTTTGTTGTCTTGGTAAGTCAGCAGTATAATTACTTAACTATGTCGATAACTGTCTTCTAGACATGAGAAAGCTGATTCCCAGATTCCCACACTGCAGATTAGTATTACTCATCTTAGACTCCAGTTAGTCTGCTTTATTGACCAGGGCGTTCAGTGGCCCACATCAGCAACACTGCATTTTGACAAATGATGGAGGAACTTTGCATATGTCAAAAGCCCACCCCAGCCCTGTATTTTTCTCTAAAGACCCATCTTACCATGTGGCATTTGCCTATGGATCACACAACATGTGAGGATTGCATGTCCTGTCTTACGACATCAGTAGCCTCAGGCGGTGGCACAATTTGGAAAACTGTCAGTGATTCAAAAGCATCAGAGTCATGGCAGTGCCAAAACAAGAAGGAGCAGATCTGTCCCTAAAGGATTCCACACGCACTCACCTTCAGGAATGCCCTCAGTCAGTTGCTGATCACGATGGTAATGCGGAGTGACTCGCAAAATGCAAGCTGATCATTTCATCCCTGGATGAGAAGGAGCATTTTCTACAATGTTAGCATCTTCACCTTTGCCAACCCCAACCTGCCATTAGAAACAAACACAATTGCCATCAAATTGATTGCAATTGTTGATGATCCCATGCCCTTCATGTATTTTAGCAATACATCAGTGCCAGGCCTTTCTTCTAAGGCATCTCTAACTAGATGTGAACTGTCAGCCTCACTCACAATCAGTCGGCCAGCACTTAGCCATTTGCCACAAAGGAATGTCTTATTAAAACCCAACTCCACTGCCATCAAGATGTGACTTCTAACAATC